GGAGTTATGGCTATAAAAATAAAATTGCAATAGCCCATTCTTTGAGTAACTGACTTCAGTGATCCAATAGTGGATCTGAGCAACTTCAGAATACCTGTCCACAAATGTACGTGTTAAATGTACTGCTATCGGGATCCACAGTCTGCAGCCAGTAAAAAGGAAATTGTTGTGTAAATAGGTAGTGAATTTGAAATTTGATTTAGTGTAAAAGTATTGCTGCCACAGTCTACAGTACGACAGTCAGTGAATTTGACATTAAGTAAGTGTATAAAATGTACTGCTACTGCAGTCCACAGTCCCGAAGTCACCGAATATTAAGTTTAGTAGAATGACTGCTTTATTTTAAACTGGCTCAGTTGGGATTTGAGGATTATTAAGAACAAAGTACATTTCATTTATAATGTGTTTGTTTTGGGTGATGTGGTTTTAAGAATGAGGCCTATCACATTTATAGCACTGCGGACTGCAGACCTGTAGCAGGGGTTGTTCGGAATATTTCAGTGGCCGGGTATTCTGAAATTTAGCCAGTGGATCAACAGATTGGAGATACAGCCTTCTCCTTTGGACAACAGATTCAATTTTAAAAATTGTGCACAAGGGTTTTTTGCACTGACTAGTGCATTTCCCTCACTTTGAAAACATTTATTATGTCATCATGTCGAAAATAAATTATTGTCGTATTTTGTGAATGAGATATCATTTTAAATGAAAACTCTCTAAAACAGGATTACATTTGGAATCCTGTGCAAAACATACTATCCTGAAACCAGCCAATGTTCAAGCCCCAGATATGTTGATATCATTTCCAGGGCTCATGTTGTGTCCTCTTCCCTTCCCAGTCACCATCAGCTGTCAGCTGGCGTATTTATTTAGCATTTTAAACAACCACAATGTCTTTATTAACCTGGTTGCATTATCGTTTTCAGGATGCTGTCTTCCAAGGTTCTATATCAAAAGAAACAACTCAATCATCTCGCCGGTCATCACGTATCTTTAGCTTTGACTTTTTACATGGTTTTGTAGCTGCGTTATCTGTCATCATTGTATCAGAGCTAGGCGATAAGACATTCTTTATTGCGGCAATAATGTCAATGAGACATTCAAGGTTGGTAGTTTTCACTGGAGCCATGGGAGCACTGGGTCTCATGACCGTCCTTTCAGCAGTTCTGGGTTTTGCAACAACTGTAATTCCACGAAAATACACACTGTATGTATCAACGGCTCTTTTTGTCTTCTTTGGTCTTAAAATGTTAAAGGAAGGATATGAAATGGACCCCAATGAGGGGCAGGAGGAATTAGAAGAAGTTCAAGCGGAACTTAAAAAGAAAGAGGCTGAGGTTAGTATTGTCACCTGCATGAAACTGGTATGGTAACTTAAATAGTTTTCACTGGATGGTGCATTTTAGCCTGTGCTACTTGCGGGTAGTATCAATCACATAGGGTTTCTGTTTTCTTAAATTACAAAAATTCAAATTTGTGAAATTATAGGATTGGTTGGCATATTCAGAGAGAACAAGAAGAAAAAGCCCTCTTACCAAAAATCGCCCTTTTTAGTGCAAATTGTTGTTTAGATAGATATAAGCACTGGTTTGCTCTGATGACTCCATACAAATCCTTGAAAAATTGGCTTGGATCATAATGTTAACATTCCCGGCCTATTTTAGAAGGATTTATGTGCAGTCATCAGAGCATAACATTGCATATATCTCATCACCAATTTGCAGTGACAGGCTGATTTTTGCCAAGTGAACATTTTTCATCTTGTTCTTTCTGGATATGTAAGTAAGTAAGTAAGTGAGTACAGTCGACTCCTGATAATTCGAACCTTCAAAGGAAATAGACAAAAAGTTCGAGTTATCGGGAGTTCGAGTTACCGAGGGTAAGATTATTTAGAAAATGATCTGAAGGGAAATGAAAATTGCTTCAAGTTAGTGGGAGGTTCAAGTTATAGAGGTTTCGAGTTACTGGGAGTCGATTGTAACCTTATTTAATCAGGGTAGCCTATTCAGCAATGAGGCTGGTATCCATAGGGGCTCTGAGAAATAAAAAAGTATACTATTTAAAAATTCCTAAGGTGTATACATGATTAAAATAAACAATAATACTGTAAAAAATCTAGCTAGGTCAATATAAAAAGTGTGTGCTGAGAGATAAGAAATTAAAATTATAAGGTAAAATACTCTGTCAGCATCTTTTTAAAACTATTTACAGACGTGGCACTTTTAACATAATTGGGTAAAAAATTGAAATAAATAGCCTCTGCATACTTAAAAGTTCTTTTGCCCATGTTACGTTTAGGCTTTGGTGAGTGCAGGTCATTACTTTTTCCAGTTGCATGATTGTGCAACAAATCAGATGATTTCACAAATTTAGTTTTCGTGACATCATCACTTCTCATCCCTATGAAGCCACCCTTAACCCCTTAAGCCCCAATATCCACAAACAAATTCTCCAAACTGATCTCTGAACATTTCCTTACAGAATTAGTTGGGAGAAATTGATAAAAGATCAGAGATTTTTCTCTTTGTGATCATTTGATTAATTCTCATAGATGTTGCACTTGACAATCTATGGATATTGTTAGGAGAATATTGATGTTGGTCACTATTGGGACTTAAAGGGTGAAAGTCACAACACATAATATGAAAAACTCAGTATCATGTTTTGCTATTGTTCGTTTAAAAATGTCATGTAACTATTGCTTTTAAAGCTAATCAAACTGTAACCATTTTCTTTTTTGGCAGTTGGTAGGAATTAATGATGATCAGTCTGTAAACCACTCAGGCATGAATAAATAAATTCATTGTTATTATTTGAAATGAAGTGGAGGTGTGGTGGCTGTGCAGTTAAGACTTTAAANTCTGTAAACCACTCAGGCATGAATAAATAAATTCATTGTTATTATTTGAAATGAAGTGGAGGTGTGGTGGCTGTGCAGTTAAGACTTTAAACTTGGGATTTGCTGGTCAAGGTTTGCGTCTTGGATATATTATGTTATATAAAGCTGTCTTCCTTTTTTTTAAGTTGGAAAAAGAGCAATCTTCAACCGTTACTCAAGATGTTGAGACTGGTGTTATCCGAGGTGGAAAAAAGCATGCAAAGTTTTTTGGTCTACTTTCACCCATACTACTTCAAGCATTTACACTGACTTTCCTGGCAGAGTGGGGAGATAGATCACAGATTGCAACTATCCTGCTTGCATCAAGAGAGGTAGGTTTTTCAGAGAGTTAATATCTGACCTTCCAGGAGAAGGGACATTCTTGAGATCTTTCTTAACTTTCTGTCTTTTCAACATGCCAAGAAAGTATTGTATCTGTTGTACTTCAATTTTGCTCATGGTAGAAATTGTCTTCGTACTGGTACAATTACCTTTAAACTGGTACAAAATTATTGATCCAGTACAAAATTTACTAAATGGTTCTCATTATACCTTTTAAAGAAATAGTCTTAGTTTACAGATATCTAGGGTTAAGCACTCATTTTACTGATAAGGGTTAGGTACTGTCTTTCCTCACGTGTAACCCTTTACCTGGTCAGAAGGGTTTACAGTAGTTATTAAAGTCAAAATGTCTTGTTTTGTTGACAGAATGTTGTGGCAGTGATAATTGGAGGAACATTAGGGCATGGCTTATGTACTGGTCTTGCTGTTGTTGGAGGAAGATTAATTGCCCAAAAAATATCTGTCAGAACAGGTAAGTTATCTTTTGATCTTTTGCTCAAGATTTTTATCTTTTTATTTATTTGGTTTTTAAACACATTGCAAATATTTAAGAAAATTCTTAAAGACAAAACAAAACAAAAAAAATCATTAACCAAAGCAGAGATGAAAGTAATAATAATATTAATTAGGTAGCTAAACAGGAGAACAAAAATATTTATTTCACAAGAGAGCTAGTGAGTCAGGTAATAAAGCCAAAAACATTTTTTTGCCTTTTTTCATCTTTGATAGAAAGCAGGAAACAAAAAAAATGAAGGAGAGTTCATTCAATTAGTTGCCTAGTCTGAGGTATTTTGTGCCACTTCTGATTTGATTCTTTGCTGTGAAGCTCAAAAGAAGTGGTTCCTCAAATATTGATTAACATAAATTTGAATAAATTATTATTATTGCACTAAGCCCATGTTTGTTATAAGGCTTGCTTTTGATTCTGCGGCACCAAAAGCAAAACAAAATTTAAGTCTAGGCCAATCAGGTAAAAGTATGATATGGTTCATTAACACAGCCATAAAATACAGTCTGTAATACTGTTGTTATGGCTTCAGTCATTATTATTGTTTCTGTAGTGCTCTTGTAAATTGGCTTAAGTTATATGCAGTTAGGGCAGATACACTAGCCCTAAGAGTGATCAGCATCAAATTTCTCCTTGTAATATCAATGCTTTGTATAACAGAGTAGTCGTGAGAATTAAGGACATGATCACACAAGATGAATTTGCTTGATATTTTATCAACTTCTCCCCACTACTTCTGTAGGAAATAAATACGGGCAACAAATGAGAATTCCAATTTTTATCTTAGGGTTTAAAGGGTTAAATAGTCTAAGGCCACTTCTGGAAAGTTTGATCAACCCAAATCCTGGATTCAAATTTTAATCAATGATTGTATTAGGCTGAAGAATGCCACCACTGGTTTCCCCGCATAATGATGTCTGAGAAACAAGCCCAAAATTCCCCTACTGATGACACATCACGAGCCAGATCGGGGTAGTGCTTCTGATAGGCTGAAGCAAATTTCCCACGCAGCAAGACCAATCAGAAGCACTACCCGGGTCATCAGTATGAAGTTTCTGCACTCATTTCTCAGATGTCATTTCGCAGGAAAACCACAGGTAGTGTCGTAAAATGTTGGCTGTTTTCTCAGGCTGTGATTGTATTTACTAGCCTTAGCGGAGCTGTCATTAAGGGCCGGGGGCTGGCAATTTTCCTCCGGCTTCCATGAATATATTCACCTCAAGCTACGTTCATAGGAAAATGGAAACAAAATGCAACCAAAAGAAATCCCTAGCTGTTTGATTCCCCCCACCCCCTGCCTACTTGTTGTATTTGCCTGGCAACTTGAAATCTTAGTGACAGCCCTGCTTAGACTGTTATTTTGAGTTAATAACACTGGATCATGTAGTAAAGGTGTGGCAATATGTGGAATGTTCCAGTTACATGACCTAAGACAAGAAATCATTGCCTAAACATTATGTGGCTTAACCTTAGGTAAAAGTAACTGGGGCTTGTTCAAAAAGTTACGTCATAGTATGCCATGGTCTTTCTTGTTGCTCCATAATTTAGAATGTTTCATTTTAAGATGTAACAATTTATTTGTATGTTTTTTTTCTTTTTCAGTCACTATCATTGGTGGAATTGTGTTTTTAATATTTGCATTAACAGCATTCTTCATTGAGTAATGAGCCAGAAGTATTGAGGATTGTACAGATGAATGATACTGCTACACAATTTAAATGAGCCTCTTGTTTCAGGAGGGTTCAATTTGATTATATTTCCTGGACAATGTGGATTTCCTAACCTGATGGTCAACTCCGCATCATTCATAATGACATTGCTGCAGTCAAATGCCTACTCATGGACACCCACTGTGGATTGTAAATGGCCGCATCAAAGAACATAATCCAGGGAAACTTCTGCTGTGTTCAAACACTGCTGGGCAAAAGGTTATTAAATTATCCACCCAATGTTGAAGACTGCCAATTCAAAGGCTGAGTAAAGGAGGTCATTTAGTGAAGGAAACCCTCGTCAATAGGGACCTTCCTCCATTTACAATCCTCTCTTGGGAATACTGAACAACTAAGTTATGTAACTCTATATCTCATTCATTTTGCATCACTGATGAATTTCAAGCAATATGAACAAAATGTTCAATTGTTGTTTAATCAATGCTTTGAGTTTTGGAATTTTTTTTTCCTTTTATGTTCTTCGCCAGAGCAAAAGAACAATATTTTTTTCGGTATAACCATTATGCACCATAGCTCATTGAGGTATCCCTTTTGGAATCAGAAAGTAAAAAAGTGTTATTTAATTAGCATTGTACAATGGAATAGGCCCCCGGATTACTTGGATACCAGTGAGAAAAACCTTTTGATTGTCACAAACCTCTGTCATCTTTTAAGACAAACCATTTTAGAGGCCACTTCGCCATATATTTGAGAGTATATGTGGGCTTAGTTGTATTGAAAGGAGAATAAGTTATCTTTTATGCCAGATGCAGATAGCTGTAGATATACCTAGATAATAGTAAGAGTAACAGAGGTCTCTGTCAAGCCAAACTGATGATGAAGGAATAAAGCTCTAAATTATCTGTTTCGAGAGTCATTCTGCTTTGCTTGTCTCTTAAACTTATTTCTACCATCTGATTTGAAAAAAAAAATGGGCCTGTTTGAAAATTAAATTACAATTCGGTGTTGACAAAGCAAGTTGGGCTGGTACAAGGTCAGTGGTTTGATAAGTTCAAATAACACTATTATTGAAAAAGGCAGGTAAAAGCTGTTTGTTTATGTTTGTATTGCTGAGGCTGTTATTCTAGATTTTATACCAGATGAAGATAAGAATTAAGATCGCAATGCAGCCTATAAGTTTGGAGTTGGGTTACTGAGTTCATATTGTAATGTAGAACACAATATTTATCCACGGTTCATGCAAAAAATTGCAACCATATTTAAGGACTTTTCAAGGACCCCATTTGCTTTTCAAGGACCACCTACCTGGAAGGTAAGTCACAGATTTGTATATAAATGCACATTCCAAGTCCAAGCTAACAGGACTTTACTGCACTTTTCAAAAACACGCAAATTCTGAAGTTCAAAAGCCAACTGATGTTTGCGTTTTTCACTGCCGTCAACCATCTTTGTGGACTTCTTAGGAAACAAGTTTACATCAAAGGGTTCGAAATGTCATTGTTTGTGATTGGTGGATTTCGATCCGTAATTATCGAAAAACACAATTGTGAAGGCAGCTTTTGAACTTCAGAGTTTGCATGTTTTTAAAAAGCACAGTAAGGCTTGGACTGTTTGCTCAACCAGTTTCTCTACATTTTTCAGTTCACTTGTCCTAAATTGATAGTTAATTCTTGCATAAAACACAAAACGTGTTATGTGAATCACCTTTAAACTCCGAGGGATGATCTATATTCTTTCTTGGACAACCAAAAAGCATTAAAAAAACACTTTCCCTGCCACTACTTTCAAAGTTGAAGAAAATTCAAGGACTTTTCAAGACTGTGCAGTATGAAACGGTTTTCAAAACATCAACAAAAACAGCAACTTGGTTATTTTTTTAAATTCAGAACTTTATTTTTGTACAGAAGCTCAGTCCTCACTTTCCACCTTTTGTGTTTGTAGCCCTGGAAATAAATAAACAACAAAATCAGAATAAAAACGCAATTTCATAAAACATTTGCCGTGGAAAACAGCAATAAGATATTACTTTAAATTATTTTAAGAAAAACGTTAAAGCATGACTTCACATTAGGAGTCCCTTGGTGTTACAGCATCCTTTAGTTATTGGGTAGTGACAACAAGGCTGACACTAAGATTTCAAGTTGCCAGGTACATTTAAGCAGCTACAGAGTAGGAAGTTCTTTTGGTTCTTTTTTCATTTAGCGTTTTCTACACATTGTGCTTATAGCAGCTTGGGAAATTCTTGTCCCCTTGCCCTTAAAGACAGCCCTGTGGACTGTCTATTAACTTCTGGCCAGACAGTTGGCCAGCATAAGTAAACAACTAGGCCTTTAAATGACAGTGTGCTTTTACATTTGAAGCCATAAGAATGTCGGTGGCGGATCCAGACCGTCAGATAAAGCAGGGCAGGCGTCATCTAGACCCTGAGATAAAGGGGGGAAGGGAGGGGGGATCTCAAAAAATTTTTTTTCAGCCCTTCTGGCCTCATTTTGGTCCGCAACTGAATGTGGTCATATTGACAAGGTGGCCATAGTTCCAGTGTAGTGTATTATAAAACAATGAAAGACTTACCCTTGAATGTAGCAACAGGAACATGAGTAACAAGGGTATACAATTTGTGAATAGAGTCTTCATCTTCATTTCTCTTACGAGCAAGACGAATTCTAACCCTAAAAGGTACATTTCTAGAAAACAAAAACAAAAATTCAACGTTGAAAGAAATGTCCTTGGCCAAAACAATACCTGTGTAAAATAAACTTTTTCAATACAGTGAAGAACAACAATAAAGCCAGATAAGGAAAAAAGAACTACTATAGAGTGATTTTACTTGACCCGTGAAACAGATTATAACAACTAGTGCAAAATAGCTATAAATAGACAAAAGAAGACAGTAGAATTAGTGCATCATAGCGTATAGTATTCTACTACCTATTTCACGGGTTAAGTAAAATCACTCTAAAATCTTCCACAAGCACACAGAGGTGTCACACCACTTTAAAAAACCCTCCTATTCCATTGAACCCCTGTATGTTGCAGCTCTTTGCAGCGTGCAAAGAAAGTAGTGTCCGATAGCCCGGGGCTAGTGGATTTTGCCATTGGGCTACTGATTTTTGTTCTTAACTTGCCCGATGGGCAAGTGCTGTTTTTTGGGGAAATTCAAATTACAGAAGGATTGTAATGAGTCCTGCTAATCAAAAAGGGTTTGGGGGCTAGTTGAAATGACTTGTGGGCTAGTACATGCTAGCTACAGCTTGCCTGAATGGCAGGCTGTAAAACTGACTTTCATTGCACCTTGTCTTTTGTTTTCCGGTTAGTTTCCATTGTTCACATTGTTTGCTTGATTGTTTCCCCAACCAATCCTATAAGTGCCTTTAAGCAAGCACCTCAGATGCCAATATTTGGAGGTCCCTTAAAGGGGAAGGTCACTTTTAGAACCCTCTCTTGCCCGTCCTTAAAAACTTTCACCAATGTTTTTCCTGACCTGACTGACCATCCCCAAGTCTCTGAGGATGTTGTGAGAGGTGGTCGTAAGTGGTAGTTTATTCTCAATCGATTCTAGTGGGAAATACAGTGGTTTTTTATAGGTTAGATAACAGTAAAGTCAGCATGTTTTCTCAAATACATGATGACTTGATTTTTTTAAATTCATGAACCTTTCAATGTAGCTGGACTCAAATCTGTGAAACCATACTCTCAAACTCTGCTTTGCGGGGATCTAACAGTTGAGTGCTTTTGGTCGTAGCAGTAAAGAAAACACACCTGATACCCTTAGACCACACATGTTTGTTCAAGTTGGTGTCTACACGGACATCTGGGGTCCCCATCATCTTTTCCGCAAACTTCTTTATTTCCTTGATAGCCCTTGGAGCTCGTCTCTTGAATCCACTGTTAAAAGCATTTTGCATTTTAATATGCATGCAATACTCNCAGATAAAGCAGGGCAGGCGTCATCTAGACCCTGAGATAAAGGGGGGAAGGGAGGGGGGATCTCAAAAAATTTTTTTTCAGCCCTTCTGGCCTCATTTTGGTCCGCAACTGAATGTGGTCATATTGACAAGGTGGCCATAGTTCCAGTGTAGTGTATTATAAAACAATGAAAGACTTACCCTTGAATGTAGCAACAGGAACATGAGTAACAAGGGTATACAATTTGTGAATAGAGTCTTCATCTTCATTTCTCTTACGAGCAAGACGAATTCTAACCCTAAAAGGTACATTTCTAGAAAACAAAAACAAAAATTCAACGTTGAAAGAAATGTCCTTGGCCAAAACAATACCTGTGTAAAATAAACTTTTTCAATACAGTGAAGAACAACAATAAAGCCAGATAAGGAAAAAAGAACTACTATAGAGTGATTTTACTTGACCCGTGAAACAGATTATAACAACTAGTGCAAAATAGCTATAAATAGACAAAAGAAGACAGTAGAATTAGTGCATCATAGCGTATAGTATTCTACTACCTATTTCACGGGTTAAGTAAAATCACTCTAAAATCTTCCACAAGCACACAGAGGTGTCACACCACTTTAAAAAACCCTCCTATTCCATTGAACCCCTGTATGTTGCAGCTCTTTGCAGCGTGCAAAGAAAGTAGTGTCCGATAGCCCGGGGCTAGTGGATTTTGCCATTGGGCTACTGATTTTTGTTCTTAACTTGCCCGATGGGCAAGTGCTGTTTTTTGGGGAAATTCAAATTACAGAAGGATTGTAATGAGTCCTGCTAATCAAAAAGGGTTTGGGGGCTAGTTGAAATGACTTGTGGGCTAGTACATGCTAGCTACAGCTTGCCTGAATGGCAGGCTGTAAAACTGACTTTCATTGCACCTTGTCTTTTGTTTTCCGGTTAGTTTCCATTGTTCACATTGTTTGCTTGATTGTTTCCCCAACCAATCCTATAAGTGCCTTTAAGCAAGCACCTCAGATGCCAATATTTGGAGGTCCCTTAAAGGGGAAGGTCACTTTTAGAACCCTCTCTTGCCCGTCCTTAAAAACTTTCACCAATGTTTTTCCTGACCTGACTGACCATCCCCAAGTCTCTGAGGATGTTGTGAGAGGTGGTCGTAAGTGGTAGTTTATTCTCAATCGATTCTAGTGGGAAATACAGTGGTTTTTTATAGGTTAGATAACAGTAAAGTCAGCATGTTTTCTCAAATACATGATGACTTGATTTTTTTAAATTCATGAACCTTTCAATGTAGCTGGACTCAAATCTGTGAAACCATACTCTCAAACTCTGCTTTGCGGGGATCTAACAGTTGAGTGCTTTTGGTCGTAGCAGTAAAGAAAACACACCTGATACCCTTAGACCACACATGTTTGTTCAAGTTGGTGTCTACACGGACATCTGGGGTCCCCATCATCTTTTCCGCAAACTTCTTTATTTCCTTGATAGCCCTTGGAGCTCGTCTCTTGAATCCACTGTTAAAAGCATTTTGCATTTTAATATGCATGCAATACTCTTATTTTATATGCAAATAGTGAACAGGAACAAACAACAACAGAAAATTAAATGTATGCATTGAGAATGTAAAGGCTTTGCAGAAATTTTGTAAACATCCGAGAATATGAGGTCATGTAAAACTCATACTAACAACACATGTATAACTTTTACCACAGGTAGAACCATTAGACATGATCTCAGCCGCATATGTGCGACACAAAGTTAATTACCTGTCCTCGCACAAAAAAAAAACCTCGTCTTCTCCTGGAAAGTATTATTATAAACCCGAATAACCACAACAGGAGCTCGTTACAGATTTTATTTAATTCTTTATATTTTTCTTAAATTTTGTGATACAATGGATCCATCAATCATCTGACTTGAGACATCGAAAAACAACGATTTTGCTTCAACTATAAAAAGGGTTATAGACGTTGAAGTACAGACTCCTTTGCCTGTGGTGTAAAATTGTGGAAATTTTAACCTTTGAAATTTAAAAAAATCCACGAGATTAGACTTCAAAAAAGGGTCCTCGACCTTGAATGGGTCGAAAAATTTTTTTCTACTTTTATTAGCAAAAACTGCCAGAAAACGCGAATCTTACATGCCATGGATCCTCTTGTGTACGTTTATTGTGTATTCACGAGTTACAACTTCATTGATGGCAGAACGCCCCTTCTTCTTGTCGCTTTTCTTCGACATCTTACAAGACAAATAAAGAATAGTTAAAAAACAAGGACCTATGCTGAAAAGATTGAAATGTCAAAGATAAGGGCCTTGATGGATTGGATAATTTTGAAGTTTTCATGAGTTGAACACAAACCTTCGAGGGCGATTTGAGAGAGAAAGGCTCATGCACGGCAACAGGGAATTATGGGATTAAGATTGTTGTTACCAGTCCTTAATGCGCGCTTCGTGGAAGGTGCATGAAGCGCACGCGAGGTTACGCGAGGGTGGGTTGTGATAGGAGTAATCACACTGAATTCTGCAAAGCTGGTCGTACCAAGGAGTAATGCTTAAGAAGGTTTGAGAGCAGAAAATAAATGTGTTAGTCATTTAAAAGCCTACCACTGAATGCCCTTCAAAGGCCCCTAATCTCTGACAAGAGCTTATTTTACAAATGGAAAGGAATAGTTGAATATATTGAAGCGAAACGAAGTAACCTGTGTAGCAGGCGAAGGAAGAAATCCCGCGGACACGCGGCCTTAAAAGAATAACCGGCGCCTGCATGCTACGCAGGCTAGAAATGAGGTGCGTTAAAGTTGATGTTACACTATACACGTGACGATTCGCAACGGCGAATTTTAGCGCAACACAACGTCGCAATGTTGGAACAGTGTTGTAACTATTCGAAACAATGTCGCAACAATGTTGCAACGCTGTGTTGTCGGCTAAAAATCGTCGTTGCGAATCGTCTCGTGTAGCATCACCTTAAGAGACTTGGGGTTTCAACAGTTTATGCTCAGGCGTGGCTATGAATAATCAAAAACAAAATGAAAGAACATCACTAATTTGTACTCAACCATCAACAAAACTAACTATATATTCAAGAATCAATTAATGATTACATAAGGATTGTCCACCAAAACTAATGCAAATATAAGAAAAAAGAGACAACAATATTTTCTATCAAGCAAACTTCCCGTGCTAAAACAGGAAGTTTTGGCTCGTTTTTTTTTTCCGTGACTCAGGGAAAAGCCACTCCATTTTAGCGACCCAGAGAAGCGTGAACAGACGCGTTTGGAACGTAAAATGTCCAATGACAATGTGTTCTTCGGCAGGCGACAGCACGTACAGGGATCGTATTCTATAAGTAACCGTTGCATCATTTCGCGTGTGCTGTCCACTGCATGTGAACTTGGCTTCTTCTTCTTTCTCCTCATTAAAGCGTGATTCGATTCAGCCCTGTCTAGATCAGCAGGTGGTAACTCTTAAATAAAAAAAATGCTAAAAATGACGGTTATATAGGGCACGCGTCAGTCTAAGAAAATCTTATGCGTAGACGAGTTTCAAATCTTTAGATTTCTATAGCGAGTTCAATTTTTCCATACCGCATACTGAGACGACAAGAAAAACTTGTTCATGTGAGCTTTAAAACTTGACAAGCGTTTTTTTTTACTTGAAAAGGTAAGAAACCTGTTAAATGTTCCCTTTTGCAGTTAATTTATACGCGCAATCAAGGAAAATTTGTTAAGTAGAACTTTTCCTGTGTACTATGTAGATGAATCCTAAAGTACTCTGAAGCAAGATTTCCGCTCGTCTGTAACCACCGGTCGATGAAATCATGTAGAAAATAAAACTCTCACAAAATTTCCTCTAGACTTTCTTTGAGACAAACACCTCTACTAAAAAGGACGACAACTTTCAAAGGCAAAAGCTACAACCGAAACCTCTGCCACTATGCAGAGATACTACAGAAGAGGGCCGAGTTGATAACATTTACGTGTAACTGTGCAAGTCTACAATTATTTAAAATGCCTCCGACAAAAATTAAAATGAATAAAAGATATAGAAAGTAAAAGTAGTGACTCTTCCTCACCGGTCTGTTTTATTCAGTACCAACGCTGGGATCTATACAGAAGAACTTAGATCTATATAACGAACCTCTGTCGTGTAACGGAGACCTCAGTATACGGCTATTTCGAGAAAGGTTGTCGGAAAAAAAATGTGCACGCGACAATCCCGAAAGGTAATATGGGACATGATCAATACTCTGTTCCTGACACTGTAGCTGTCGAAACTACTTTTGTTGCTTTACTTTAAAACTCGCAAACATACTTTAATGGCCTCTCGTGCCATTCTTTCAAATTTCTTTGAAGAACAGTGAACGCAAAACCAACAATACCTTTCAGGATTGGCGCGTGCACTTTTTCCGACAACCTTTTTCGAAATAGCTGTATTCAGTGGACTCATACCGAGAGTCTTTTTAAAGGAGATAATATATAAAATTATTTTTCCAGTCCCTTAACCCCTTGTTATATGGAGGTTCCAGCTCGTTCCACAGTACATGGGCTCTCTTGTCCGGCTTTGTTCAATGCTTATGGCTCTTGATTTTAGGCTAAGGAACTTATATTTCGCCCCACTTAAAAAGTCAAGAGTAAGGAGCCAAGGTTATTCATTAGTATATTCACGATAAACGGAAGAAATAGTTTGACGAACTAAGTAAAAAACCAAGTCAGTTAACTCAAAAATCGGCGTCATGGGGTTAAAGTTTTTTATACGAAGTCGAAGATGTTACGATAGAAAAAGCGCAGATTATGAACGAGTGAGCATCAGCAAGTGCTGGCTTTTAAAATCCATATAGTCAACTCAGTCATAGTTTTTAGGATCTTCTTGCGATTACGAGGTCTTCACACACACGACGTTTCTGAGTAATGTAGTGACAAGACAGGCGCTGTAGTATCCCCGACGTAAAATTCATTCGAATCTTCACTGAATCTCAGAGTTCATGCAATGAAGAACGGAAGTGCAGATTTCAGCTTACTGAAATATGACACAAACAAGCAAAAATATATACCAGTGAAAAGCACTACCAAAGAGTTTTCAGATGAGATGGTGATGGAGGTGATATTGCGACTGAGATCGTCACGTCTTTCCAGACTGTCAGTGACGTAATTTCATAAAACTACCTGCGTACTCAACGAGGTTCTCATTCTTTTCGAGCCAATTGGAAAACGGGAAAGGGAAGTGTGGAGATACTTGTTGAATAAGTAGGAGGAATTAATGATCACTTATCCGTTGTCGGCCATTTAATATACTGCGGTGGTCAGTTTTTTTTCTTTACAAGAAGTGGTGTGGTAACAAGACAACTTAGTGATCATATTTTTATGATAATTTTCCATATTGTTAAGGAAGTTATTCATGATTTTTGAAGTAGCAGAAAAGTTTAAGGAAAGAATGTTAAATGAAAAGATTATCATCCTGTTTGCCGTACCAAGAGAAGCACAAAAATTGCATTTTGGTCTATGTTGCCCCGGTTAGAGATACGGGTGCATTTCCCTGTAAGACTTTGACAAACCGATCTGGATAAGTTTAATTTTTGGCGTAGTCGAAGTGGACGCATATATTTCGATAGGAAGATATGTCAAAGATAAATTGACGACGGTGCGCGCAGTTCTAAAAACTGACCTGACTGGTAGGATTGGGCAGCGGAAGTCGCATTCTTGCGGTCCTTTCCGCGCGCTTTCGTGTTCTTGTTTGACGTTGCGCTGTGTTTGCTAAATCGACTAACAGCAACCCAGTTGATCAGCATTGTGTCGTAACCTCTCATCTTTATATACGTTCCCTTAATAAACAGCTCCGTCGGAAGGTACTAGGCAGACTGATTTAGAACTGTAAATGCAACGGCAGTGACAACGGCAGTGACAACGGCACGCGCAGATTTAAAAACAACCAGTGTCAGCGGAAAATAACGCAACGGAAGTCACGTTCAGCGTGCCTTTCAGGCGCGTTCTCATTTGCCGTTGCGTTGCCTTCTCCAAAATCTGATGCGCAGACGAGTCCATTGGTTGGTCATAACGCACACAAGAAATTCATCTACAAGCCTCGGAGTGAAATTTAGTTATGAGCAACCTCGTTCCCAGGTTCTCTCTCCTAACCGTAGCTCCGTAGGGACGGGTAGGAGAGAATCCTGGCAACGAGGTTGCTGACGAGGTTGAGTTAAGGGTACTTTGTAGAGCACAATAAGGGAGGAATTGGTGAGAAACTATCATTTTTTCCTCCTGCTCTCTTCAGAAGAACATTTTTTTGTCAGTACTTCCTTCCTCTATTGAGATTTAGAGCCACCTTGCAAAGCCGACACAGCATAAGAAACAGAATGAACAATACTACGGATTGCACCACTACATGAGAAATTTCTGCAATTTGATTGACTTAGAGCAGTGGTATTTCAGCTTAATTTGAAATACCTCAGGCGCGGATCCACACCGGTTTCCACCGTTTTACAAAAATCGGTCAGAGTTTTCATAACTAAATAAATTTTTCATAAAATAAAACTTTCCAAGTTAAAATCTGGCCAATATCCTGACTGAATGACTCAGAAACCCAGGAAAGGTGACTAAGGGAGAAAAATCCAAAAAATTTCACGGGGGTGCATGCATCCGGACCCCATTAGAAGCTTACGCCTTCGGCGCTCGTTTAGGAAAACGGTCAGTATTTGTCCTACATCCGCGCCTGTACCTACATGTGAAAATTACAAACCTTTTACAGGTAGTAGTATAAACAAATAATAGCATGATTTGTACGTGATATTTGGCATAGATACCACTCGTGACATTTCAAAATTGTCTCAAATTTCACTCGCCCAACGGCTCGTGAAATTACGTATAACAATTTTGAAATATCACTCGTGGTATTTATGGCAAATAACACTACTAATCATGCTATTACCTATACAAATACATGTTCCATGAAGGCAATGTATGTTTAATTTTTGAAGTCCAATTGACGATCAGCATCATCAACATTGATAGTCGAGGCGGCTGCCATCACACATTAAATTTCCTGCAGGCTTAAACGCTAGAACAACCTTATCGATCCTTTAATAATTAGCACCACTCAAAAGAACTACCCATAACTTCAGACGGCTAACAGATCAGAAAACCAGATGGCATCTGATAAAAGGAATAAAAATAGCATTTAAACTGCACAAGTATAATGCTGATATTTACCACCATCGAGGCTCTTGCCATCATTGAATTCGG